CACACACACACACACACACACACACACACACACACACACACACACACACACACACACACACACACACACACACACACAAAGTCAACACCCAGAAACAAGGCACACCCTGAGCTCGTAGGTGTGTGTGTTTGGGTGTTTTGAGCAGAACAAAACATGCAGTTACCATAACATTATTGTATGTATATTCTAAAATTATAAATACAGTTTTAGATATAAAATTGAAGATAATGACGTTGACATTAAACCCTCTTTACTTTCAAATCATCTAATTTTATCAGCAGAAGCTAGCAATTATTTTTCATTATGGCTTAAGCTCAAGATAACATTGTTATTATCTTGAATAACTAACTATTTAGAACATAGCACCCTGAAAAATGCTGATTAAAGTTTCCCAAAAGGACAGATGATATCACCAGATTAGCAGCTGCACCCTGTCAAGTCTCCAAAAGTCAAAGATGATGTAAGACAAAGAAACACACAAATGTTTCACATTTGGTTTTACTGAAACATCTCATTTGGTTTTAATATAATTGCTCCAACATTCATTTTCTTGATTGCTTATTTTTTTAATCAAATACTAATTATGCTCTAGTTAGCTTCTATAGTACACAGATTTAATACAGAACACACATCTCAAAATGTAATTAGATGATCCATCCTGAATCTCAAGTTCAAAAACATGATTACAGCAGCTACCTAAATTAAAATCTACAATCCAAACAGACACAAACATGTTGGCTTTGATAGGCAGGATCTGTAAAGAGATATTTAAAGAGCTGCCTTAATGTACTGAAAGAGATTACCAGTAATAATCAGACCTTAACAATGAGCTGGAGTTTCCTTACAAGAAATGCCAAGCTTTGTGTGTTAAAGTAGTATCAAGTGTTCACACTCACACACAGTCACGCTTTCTTCTACACATACAAACACTGTCTGCACTTATTTCAGGATGCCATTTGACACCATGACTCGGTCCCTGAACTGCTTGTGGGTGATTAAAGGACCTCTGAGTAAAGGATGGTAGTAACGGAGGTGGTAAGGTGATGAATTAATGACCCTGGGCTGAAAGGCAGCAGGGAACAAAGAAAAAGGCCTGAGGGGGCATTTTGGGGCAACAGCCTTTAGCCACTGTTTTGATCTTTTGTGGTGCACTGCAAAGTAGTCAATAGCAGTGCAGAACACAGATCAGTGGTAATTGCATTCATCCTTTTGTTCTTTTGAATGTTTTCTTATCTGCAGGACTGCTTCAGATACAAATGCATCTGAATATGCATCTGCATATTAATGTAAGTTGAGTTAATGCTATTCTTCGACAAAGACAGATTAAAAAAAAAAGATGCACAATGCCAATACCTTAAACCTATTACAACAAAGGCTTCCTCTGTTCTCTCTATTTATTCTATAGTAATGAGTTCAGACTGCATACTGTATTTAAATGTGCTGCTTGATAAAAAATAATGAGCCGAAAAACACAGAAGAGACCAGAGAATGAGTTTAATCTGGCTTTATCTCAAATCATGTATAATACTTGTGAGTGAAGAATGAGAGGCTCGCTCTTCTTGTAACTTTAAGCACATACACTTTTGTTTATGTTGTTGGTAAGTCAACAAGGCTCCTGCATGATCATGGTGTTAGCTGACAGGGCAGTAAGAAACTGTTCCAATGACAGGCTTAGATTGTTCAGGTCACACAGTTTACTGAAGTCAGGCCAGTCTGAATGAACCCCGTAGGCAATGAAATGCATGGCAATGTGGGAACTTCTGCTCCATTAAGAAGCCCAGCAAACTAAGTGCTTTCAGTCAAGTCAGGAAAAACCTGAACTGCATATGAGCTCTGTGAGAGTTCCATTATTGGAGTTTTCATTTGCATCTGCTACACCAAGACTAGCATTCACAAAGAAAATCAGTGACAAGCCTTTGCTTGTCACGACAGAAACAGCCCAGAATATTTTTACAAACTGTAGAGGAACACAGTGTGGTTCCCTGCACTATTGTAAGGATGATTTAAACAGCATCAGATACCTCTATTATCTACCCAGATTGAACAACACAAGTAAGAATTTGTGGAAAAGACTGTAAATGTATCTTTTTTTCAATATGTCAGCTTTGGTCTCAGAAAGGTTCTCGTATAAAGCTTAAAGACAAAACTATTAAAACGGTGCTATGAAATTACTTAGCTGTTCAAGTGATAATAAAAGTAATTCTGTGTTGCATTAACATGGACTCAGGTATGGGTAAAATACACATGCACACACACGCACTTTTTCCCTTACTGGATCCTTTGGGAATAGAGAAACTCAAATGGATGACAGCTTAAAAAGTGAAAATGATGAAAAAGATCTGGAAAATAAAGAAACGTCAAAAGGAAGTGGAGCAGTGAAGAAATTTGACTTAAACCCATACCCTCATGAGACTGTACTTGTCAAAACTAGTTTGAGCCTACCTGAGGGTCAAATATATAATTATATTCAACTGCAAAAAGAGCACAGATGGGGAAAAGAAGTACTTCTGAAAATTACCAAAGAAGATAGAGGTGACGTTTAGAAGCGGTAAAGAAAATAACGAGAAGCAGTAAAATCATAAAATACTGACAGGAATATGCACTCATCATGAGATAAACAGAACAGGAGGAGAAGGGAGGAAGAGCGAGAGAAGGAAGAGCGCAGAAATACGTCATTACCGTGGAACATGATGGCTCTGAGCAATCACAATCCACAATGAGACATGTTGCAGCAGGTAAGTGTCAACTAACAGTCATAAGTGTGAGGGAGAGGCTCTGCACTACAGCAATGGGGAGATGAGTCTTCAGTTCATACTACACCATGGATCGGGCAAGCAAAAATGGATAGAGGCTGTTAAAGGAAAGAATAAACACTCGTTTGGTGCCCAGAGATGGTGCAGTGGTAAAGATAATGTATAACCTTGCTGTTTCCCCCTTTTCCATCAGCCTCTCAGCCTAAATTGAATACTAGCTTTGAAAGCACACACTAGGAAAAATGATTAAAGCACTAAGCAATGCCAGAGTGGATTTCAGCACACCACGTTTTGTGCTTATGAAGAAGGGAATGAGTCACAGTTAAACACAAGCTGTTCTCTCGCTGGTCTGATGTTAAGAGTTTGCTCAAGAGAGCAGGTTTTTGAGAAATGTCAAAAAGAAACAATGACTAAAGGAGAGTCACAAGTGCCTTGT